GCCCCCAGCAGTCCCCGCGTCGCAGGCCGAGCCCCACGGGCGGGTCAGACGTAGCCGGGCTTCACCGACAAGCGGCGGCAGTTGGGGCAGCCCCGGGTCCCGTTGGTCTGGAGGCACCTGCAAAGGGACGAGGTCGGTTCGGGGGGAGCTCTGCGGCCGGAGGCTCCCCCAGCCCCGCTCCCACTGCTAGGCTGCATATTAACCACATAACATAGGAAAAAGCTCCCTCACGTCACAGGCAGAGATTCGATCTCTTTTCCTCCCATTCCGCAGAGGCACTTCAGCACCTTCCGCCACAAAAGTAAGCTCCTGTACTGCTGGAGACAAATCTGCTGTCCCGTAGGTTGATCCTAATTTTGGTGTCATTGTGAGGCTGTGTTTTCAAATTCTTAATTTTCAGAACTAAGTGTTTTGTTACACTCATATTTCTTCTAAAAATAAAGTGATGACACAGCTAACTTATTTCACAGCAGTAGCACAGAGACCAAACACCACCTTCACCTCAGTGTACTTCTAGGCATGGGGGGATTCAAGGGGAAAATCCAAACTGCCCCTGGGAGTGAAGAACTGATTCCCTAAGAGGAACTAAATAAGAACTTGTGGTCTGGGCTAAGAGCCTACAAGGTGAGGACATTGGTGAACAATCATTTAGAGGACAGGAGTGGGATTGATATTACAGCTAAATGTCACCCTTCAAGGCCATGAGATTCACAACACTGCAGTGGGATCCTGCAGGGCACAGGTAAGCTGGACAAAGACCTGAGGAAGAGCATGCATAGGACTGTCCTACTCTGGGCATGAACAGCTCTTTCCTATGACTAATGTCACAACAAGGATCTTTAGTACTTCCAGCTCATTACTTTAAGTGGAAGAAGTGGGAGCAAGGCAGCGCCTGGAGCTGGTTGTTCTTCTCCCCAATGGACTCTCCACACATGCCACAGTACAGCTCCATCTCCTCCACACATTCATGGAACTTCACTACGTGGTCACGCAATTCTCGCTGCTGCCCCTTTGTGCGATAGATCCGTTCACACAGGCAGTGGAGCTTCAGCAGGCCAAGCTGCACATGAAGGGCAGAAACATAAGAAAAAGTAAATAACAAGGTGAAGACAGACCAGTAACAGAAGGAACGGAGACCATTACAGCCCCATCAGCCAGCTAGAGAAACACCAGCACAGAAAGCTACAGAAGGGGTAAGGTCAGTCATAAGGACATTTGGTCTCTCAGCACTTCCTGCCATTAACCCTGCTTCTCTGTATCACAAAAGGGGACACCAGGTTTGAGGCACTCTGCAGCTCTCTCATCAAGATGGTTTTCCTCAGCTATCCATGACATAGACTGTATTTCCTTTCCCTTTGCCTCCAGCCAGCACAGAGTTCAGCTGTAATATTTTTCAAGAAGAGACCCCTGATCCTCTAGCTCTGTGCTTGTTTCATACCCCATTTTTACTGCTTTCCATTCCCCTTTGTTTATCCCACTGTGACTCCTCCCTCACTTTTCAGACTTGCACACTGATGATCGTCTGTGCAACTGCTCACAACTAAACACTTCACAACAAAGCACGTCCCAAGCATCAACTGGTTAGTACGGCCACATTAATAAGCAATAACAAGTCTGGATATTTCAATGCTTGGCTTCTTAAGTTGCCTGACAGAAGACTGCAGACAGTGCTGAAGAGAAGCTGTAGGATCCTACCTTGTTCCCTAGTCCCTCTGCCAGCTCCTGTGCCTTTTCAATGCTTTCCAGAGCCTGTGAATGGAGAGCATGCATCATCAGTTTTCAGCCTGATATATCAAAACCAGACTTGTATGAATGCCCTATGGGAATTATTGAAAGAAAGAGGTACAGAGTAGAATTTGGATAAACAAGCATCACTGCTACTCTAGAGATGCAAGATAGCTGTCTGGCAGATTTCCCTCCCCTCCCAAAGGTCCATAAGAAAAGCTTGGATTATTTGTGGTCTCTCAGAAACCAAGAGCTACATTTCTGTTCCAGCTGCACAGTAAAAAATAGGGGTGTGATGTTGGCAGAGGCTGGTGTTTCCAGGCAGAGAGAATACAGACTTATTTAAACTTAGTCCCACGTGCTCATTAGGGTTTGGATGAAGCACAAGCAAAGCGAGCTTTTTCCCCATCCTACCCTACAGGTTCAATAATCATTGAACAACTCCAGTTTCACTTGTACAAGAGGGAGAAAGGGATCAGCAGCACCAACACACGATGCTTTTCCATTTTTTCCCCTGCTGTTCATATATCCACTTTGTCCTAATTACACATGGTGTGATGTAGGAGTGTACTGCTATCCATCTTTTTTCAATCTGAAGTATTTAGCATAGCAGCTGTTATACCAAATGAGTCCCTACTTTCCCCCAGATGCCACAGTGTTCCTCATTGTTCTGATCATCAGTCTCTGTTTTCCAGAACTGCTTCAGATTTGTCCAAGAGAAAGAGTTCTCCCTTGTGATTCAGGAGGAACATTATGAAATTTCTACCCTGTAAGTTGGCATTACTGCTATTCTAGGAGAAGACGACCAGATGAGACGAAATAATGTACTTTGAATGCAGAGGAGATAGCATTAGATCTCTGGTGGCAGCAACAGCCTAGAGTAAGGAACTTGTAGAAGAGGGAAGCAGGAACTGCAGGCTGGCAGGTAGAACATAACTGAGCGCTGTGCCTAGGAAGAGTGACTGTGTACTGGAAAACCCAGAAATTAATGACCGGGATTAAGAATCAAAGTGAATCATGTGGGGTGAGGGAAGAGATGCTGAGAAGTCCAGGGGACAGTTTGTCTTGGACAGGAATATGAGACTGCACAAGAGTTTGGGCAAGCATGTTGTGACAGGAGCCAGGGAAGATCTGTAATAGTATTGACTACGTGCAAGTGCAAGGAAACAGACTCACTGGCCAAGGAGACTGGGAAGATGGAGGAAGCTAGGACGAGAATAGGAAATCTGCAAGGAGAAAGTCAGCAAACTGCTTTATTAGGTAATTGATATTGGGATGAGTAGCATGAGAAATGGAAACTGGGACTGGCAAGTTGAGGAACAGGCTTGGGTGAGTATTCAGGGCTGTGACATTTGAGGAGGTCACATTTAGGGCAATGGGCATGAGGTCCCTGACCCACTAGGGCAGATGTCCCTCTAATGCCTGGAACAGAATACAAGATTCATCTATTCATTCTCTTCTTTTGTGGGTTTTGGTGAGATTAGGACTCCGTGCAAAGCCCTCACCAGGCTTTCACAGGTGAGAACTGCTTGTGATAGCGGGTGGCAATGGCTGGAGGTGGGATCCATGGATGTAGGGATCTGATGAGTGCTCTGAATATTCTCTTATGTAGAGGCCTACCTGCTACGTCCTGTCCCGTTCTGTTGAATATGAGAGGTGATGCTGGGAAGGGATTACACTAAGCAAAGTGTTTAAGTCCACAGTTTCTACTTCAATTGCAAATGTAGTGTTTACTTACTGAGATTGCAAGGTGTATTTCACCCAACTGATTCCCTGCTGCAGGCAACTCAGATGCTGACAGCACCTTGAACTTGTGTTTTCTGACAGACACATACTTGATTTCCTAATATCTGGGATGCTTCATTTCAGCTAAAATTCTTTATGTCTCATATAAGTGATAAGAGTGAATCTTCATCACATCTACACCCAAACCAGCATCCTGATGTGGCACTGTGCAGGCGTTCTAGGTTGTTCAACACCAGTTCAAGGCTAACCTTTGAGCATCTCATTCTGCAGCCCAATTACGTTCCTGCAGTGCAATCTGCTACATCTAGTGTAATCTGGATTTTAACACACACACGCTGCCTAAGCATTTTCAAACTAAGTAATGTTGCCCCCTTGTACCATGTTGACTGGTTATCTATTCCCAAATGATTTTTTGCTCTCATTTCTCAGTTTCACATCACAGTTTATATACCTTCAAAGTTTCTCTAGGAATTTGATGCCACATTTGTCTGCAAAGCACATGGTGGAGCTGTAGAGCTGTCTACATATCATCATTTAGTCATATAGCTAAAAAGTAGGCAATGGAATCTATTTCAGGCAATCAGTTTATGTTCTACCACAGCAGGAGTAGGCTTCCTTCCCTCAGAGCTACTTTCTCAGTGTAGTGCTTAATGTCATCAGGATTGACTAATGAGACAATTCTGTAAGTTAGTAGTCTGACTCAGAATGGATGTTCATACTGTTAGTAACAAATTCCTGGCTGAGGGAGACCATTCAGAGAAACGTAACTGTACAAGCAACAGACCCCGTTGGTAGAACCAAAGGGTACAGGTCTCTATTGCACTTTGATGGGCATACGGTTCAGAAGAAGACTGTATGCTCTAATCTTGTCTAACAAACTTCTGTAGAAACAAGTTTGTAACTGACCTTGTCCAGCTCCTTCTTGATCATCCAGCACTTAGTCACTCCTAGCAGCACCTGGATCAGGCCCAGGCGGTTTCCAATCTCTGTCATGATGCTCATGGAGGAATCATACCGAGGAATGGCTGTCTGCAGAACCAGGGAGGAAGACACATGTTTTGCTATGGCCTGCTTTTCACACCCTCTTGCTAGCCCCTCTGTTCTTTCTGGCAGGAAAGAGCTGTACCTGCACGTCTTTGCGACTGCGATGGATATCTGCAAAGCACAGCAGACACAGCGCTTGCAGAGGCCGGTCACCATGCTGCAGGGCAATCTTCATGGACTCCTGAAAGAAATTGTCTTTGGTCAGTAAAAGAGCTTGTTCCTGGTTCAGAACAGCAAGGCTGGGACTGCGTGCTCCAGCCACTGAAAGGTCAGCTCCAAAGAAACGGCTACATCTTTTTAAGTAAAGTCTTGTTCATGTGTTCCCAACCAAGGGCCATTCATAGACCCAAACTTTTGAGGGCCCCTGGGCTACTGAAACCACAGCTCTAAGGCTGAGAGGCAGCAGGAACATCTAGAGCCAAGCATGAATGCCATGGTATCTCTCTTCCTCCCAGTCCTGTAGGCAAGATCCCCTTGCAGAGATCTCTGACAGCTCTGCATCTGCCTGTACCCTATACCTCACAGCAGTCCATAGCATCTGCCAAGCGCCCCAGCTTCTGATAGGCCACTGCCATGTGATACTGGCTCATTGCTCGGTACTTCAAGCTCCAGCCCTTTCCATAATCATTCACCAGCTCAGCTGCTTTACATGGGAAGAACAAGGCTTTCTCGTAGTCCTGTAAGGCAGACAAGCAGACAGCAGTTACAGCAAAAATAAAGCAAAAATAAAAGGGAAAAAACCCCCACCAACCATTTTTTATTTATTAACACTGCAACAGCTAGCAGATTTCTGTACACCTTTCAACTCTTGCTGCTCCGCTTCCACATGCCGTATTTCACTAGATGTTTCCGCTGGGAGTCAAACTGTGGAATGTAAAATTGCCATATACTGAATTCGTATTACTCTCTGGCTTCAGGACACTGGGGAAATGACACAGCAAATGAATTTTATATAGTATGCCATCAGCTTTACTCTGCAGGAACCATTTACCCTCCTCTATAACCAAAGGCTGAAAATTTTCTCTGCTCTTCCATCATCTCTGCTTTCAACATCTACACGGAGCCCTCGTACTCCATATGGTGAGTCAGGATCTCCAAGAGGCTGGTTATCCATCATTGCAGGAAACAGGAACAAAGAATTATGGCCTTAACAAATCCACATTAAGTAATAATATAACATATTTTCATTTTTAAGCATATTTCTGCATTAAAAACATTTTAGAAAGAAATCTTATTTTACAATAAGTACATAAAACTATTATCTAAATATCTAAAACCATTCTCAAGTAAGTTACATGAGACTGCAGAAATGAGAAAATCCTCATATTTTTTAATTCTCCAAGATCCACTGTGTCGGGCTTGCATGGCAAAGCTTTGGTAGCGGGGGGTGGGGCTACAGGAGCAGCTTCTATGAGAGGCTGCTAGAATCTTCCCCCATGTCTGATAGAGCCAATGCCAGCCAGCTCCAAGACGGACCCACTGCTGGCCAAGACTGAGCCCATCAGCAACGGTGGTAGCGCCTCTGGGTAACAGAGTTAAGAAGTGGAAAAAGAAAAAACTGTGCAATTGCAGCCAGAGAGAGGAGTGAATATATGTGAGAGGAACAACTCTGCAGACACCAAGGTCAGTGAAGAAGGAGGGGGAGGAGGTGCTCCAGGCACTGGAGCAAAAATTCCCCTGCAGCCTGTGGAGAAGACCACGGTGAGGCAGGCTGTGACCCTGCAGCCCATGGAGGATGATGGGGAGCAGTGTTTCCACCTGCAGCCCATGAAGGACCTCGTGTCAGAGCAGGTGGAAACACCTGAAGGAGGCTGTGACCCCGTGGGAAGCCCACACTGTAGCAGGCTCCTGGCAGGACCTGTGGCCCTGTGGAGAGAGGAGCCCGGAGCAGGTTTGCTGGCAGGACTTGTGATCCTGTGAGGGACCCACGCTGGAGCAGTCTGTTCCTGGAAGTCTGCACCCCATGGAAGGGACCCACGCTGGAGCAATTCATGAAGAACTGCAGCCCATGGGAAGGACTCATGTTGGAGAAGTTGGCGGAGGACTGTGTCCTGCAGGAGGGACCCCTTGCTGGAGCAGGGGAAGAGTGTGAGGAGGAAGGAGCGGCAGAGACACCGTGTGATGAACTGACCACAACCCCCATTCCCTGTCCCCCTGTGCTGCTAGGGGGAGGAGGTGGAGAAAACGGAGTGAAGTTCAGCCTGGGAAGAAGGGAGGGGTGGGGAGAGGTGTTTTAAGATTTGGTTTTATTTCTCATTACTCAACTCTGTTTTGATTGGTAATAAATTAAATTAATTTTCCCCAAGTCAAGTCTGTTTTGCCCATGACAGCAAATACTGAGTGGTATCCCTGTTGTTATTTCAACCCACGGGCCTTTTGTTATATTTGCTCTCCCCTGTCCAGCTGAGGAGAGCAATGATAGAGCGGCTGTGGCGGGCACCTGGCCTCCCACCAGGGTCAACCCACCACATGCACAAAAGAAACCACAACTTTTAAAATTTTCTTATTTCCTTCTTATGTCATACCTTAAAAATATCCAGCACTATGATCTTTCCTTTATTTTAGATATTATGAGGGAAATTTACTGATAGTTTTAAACACTTCAGTTGGTGAATTTTCCATTAGTGACAGAAATGAAGACTTTGTGAGGAAAACCTATTTGTTGCTGTTTGTAATAGAAGTTAGAACTGGCAAATCACCCCCATCCTCAGTTCCTGCCTGGTTTTGCTCATATAAACAGCTATTTGCCTGCAATAATGGTAGAAATAGAGAATCCATGAGTTCTGGCTGCCAGCCCTAATATGTCCTCTGATGTGATCTTTGAAGCTAAGTTTGATTTTTTCAACAGACAGGAATATTCACAGCTGCTTCTGCTGTGCTATATAAACATTACACTAATCCTCTCATCCTTACTGTGAAGGAGAGTACTCGATGATTTTACAAAGAAGAGAGCTTACAACATTCTCACAGTACTTCATGGTGCATTGCAAAGAAATAAGCTGAAATTCACACCATTTTCGATTCTTTCCCGAATCCATGAGACAATCACCCTTCTGTCCCTTAGGTTACCGCACCTTTATCTGGGCGTAGAAGTTCCCGAGGCTGCAGCAGACTCGACACTCCAGCATCTTGTCATCATTGTTGTGTGCGTAGCGTAAAGCTTTCTCAAAGCACTCCAAAGCCTTCTGGAAAATGCTGAGGCCCAAGAAGGCATTGCCCATGCTGAGGCTCACCTGGCCATTCAGCTGCATGCTCACCGTGGTACCCTGCATGTTCAGGCATGTCTTACAGTAAGAGATTGTTTTTTGGAATTCACAGAGTTTCTCATTGCTGCGAGCCAGGTTTAGGTAGCTCTCTGTAAGGTAATCTGGGTCTTCCAGCTCCCGTGCTGTGTCAATCTGCACCACTGCAAACTTTAAGTAGAAAAGACAGTGTTTATAAAAGCGCGTAGTTTATTTAATTACAGCTCAAACACCCACAGAGTAGTACCCTGTGCTGGAGAAGTGGCTCATCTCTGAGCAGGGCAGAGAAGTCCAGCATCACAGACTGAGAAGCATCGTATACATTAAGCAGTTATCTGGTAGTTTAAAAGGCCTGTGAGCGGTCTGAAGAAACCTCTGTCTCTCTCTCTCTCTCCACCAGGCTGGCAGTTAGTGGGGGAAAAAAGCTGTTAAGTGGCCCTAAAGAGAAGCAGGTGAAGCAGGAAACATCTGACATTATGCAGCTCAGTTTTCTTTCACTCAGTTTAACTTATCCCACTTTCTCTATTAAGAAGCAAGCTACTTCTTTCATCAGTTTTTTACTAACAAATTGCAGTCTTGACAGTTTTTGTTCTATAACCTTCAGGATTCATTGCATACAGTTCTCTTAAATGATATGAAATCTCTTTATTTTAGACTGCAGACTCTCAGCAGCAACTTTTTTCTTTAGTGATGAAACAAGCACACTGCTGGCTTGAATTAATACCAGTAGCAAAGGTAAATATTTAGCAGTTTTCTCAGTATGTGTTTTCATTAGAGGTTATCAGTTAGGTTTGTGGATAACAACTCCCAAGGGCACCAATTACTTCCTTTTTGTATAGTGGCAACACATAATAATTTAAGCTACTAGAACATTTTATATTCTTCACAAAATTAAAAAAAAAACCCCAAACATAAATGGCATATATGTTCACAGGTTCCTTAGCACTTTAGGAAAGCTGCTATGTGGACCCAGTCAGGTGCATTAGCTCATGCTTCTCCACATTTCCTTACCTTTGTACAAGTTCTTCATTATCTCCTGATTGCCACAGCCTCTTTCCTTGGTGTGAAGTAATTTTTCTCTCCAAAAGAGGTTGAGTATCATAACCCTTCTTAAATCACAGTTAATTTCATGCCTTTAATTCTGACCCCTTTTCTCCTGGTTTCTCCTCTCTCCATGGCTTATTGCTAAAGTTCTCCTTTCTCTATCTTTCATCACTCATGGTATAAAATCTTCAGGCTGACTGAAGCCATTTTTCCTTTCTAATACTGGGAAGAACTACAATTCACCTACTCCGATCCCACTTTCTGTTCCCTTCTCAGGTAACAAATTAAAGGTTCAGGTATACTGAGCCCACCCCTTTACCTGTTTCTTGTTTTCCATGAAGCCTTCAGTATTTCCTTCAGGTAGCCACATCTTACCGTTTTTTGCTTCTCTCTTCCCTAATCAGTCTGTTTCTACCACCACTTCTTCCACATTACTTATCAGAATTATTTTTCTTCAAATGTTTTGCAAGTGTGTTAATACCCCTTTTCTTATTCATCCTAAGTATTTGGTTTTAAGACAGGGCTTTGATATATGGCTTGTGTGGGTTTGCTAGTAAGATGTGCCTCCCTCTTTCATGTTTTGTCCTAAATGCCAAATGGTTACCAGTCTCATAAGAGGCAATCATAACCATCAGGACAAGAATATCAAGGCCCTTTAGCAAGACCCTATTTCAGCCTGGGATAGTTTCTTAAGACTATTACAACATCCTCTTGCCCTGTCTTCCAGATTCCTGAGTCACCCTCCCAAACACTGCGGGCTCTTTATGTGCATCCTGTTACTTCTCAGACCCACACATCAGCTGCTTTTTGTTCATTTAATCAAACATGTTTATCCTCATGCTCCTGAAATGTAACTTTAGCTTCTTTTTACCACTCTTCCATCAAGCCGTATATCCTTCTTTCTTCTATGCTGTCCTGACAACTGGGAGTCCCTCTCTGATCTCAACTGTCAGACCCCTCCTGGAACGTCTCTCAACCCCCTCACCAGAAAAGCATCCTCTGTCCCCCGCTTAATCAGCCCCCTTGCAAACAAATAATTGTAATTAAAAACAATGTTAGATCTATATTAGATATCAAACAGCAGTTGAACAACAAGATAACAGACATGTCTCCACAGGACTGCTGCTTATTCTACAGAATCCACTTGGAGATGTCTTTTTACATTTACATACACACTGTAAACAGCTGTAAGTGGAGAAAAGACCCTGTTTTCATACCTTTTCCTAGAAGCCTGATAACATGGTGTACCTGTATGTGGGGAATAAATCAAGAAAGGTCCCCATGATTAACTGGAGAGCCTCAATAACCTGGGAATCCTGTGGGATCAGACCCAATGAAAAGTAGTATTCTGTGTATCTTGTGGGCTAGAGCTATGGGTCAACACAGTGATTACGGCAGCCCACAACATGCACTCAATAGCTGGTATGTTCTTTATTATACAAAATAACCCCCCCGATTTCACATTCTAATCTTCAGCCACTCTCCATGGTGGGTACGACACAATGGCATGCATTCATCTCCAGTTTGCCTTACCTTCAGCATATCTTTGTATCTGCCCATCTCTGCATGAGCAGTGATGAGGCAACCCAAAACCCGAAACCTGCCAGCAGGATCCGCAGACTTCTCCAAAACCCTCATCCAGACTTGCAGGGCCTTTTCGGTCTGATTAGACTGGTAAAGATGGAGTCCTTTCTCTATCTGTTGCTTTGTCTGGTCCTGACCCATCTCCCATGCATTAAAAAGCCTCATACACTAACCTCTAAGGACAGCAAAAAGGAAGTGCAGAGAAGACGACACAACATAAAATGCCCTAATAGAGGAGGGCGGGTTGTGTGCTCAGAAGGCTTGGAGCCATAAAAGCCCAGCCGTGTCAGGGGACTGGAGCTGTGGTAAGCAATGGCAAGAAGTGGTTGCTCAGCTCTGAAGGTAGAATCCCAAATCCACTAGGCAAACGTCTCGCTCGCTAGGACTCCCTCAGTGCATTCGCCTGTCCAATCCCATAAACAAAGAGGAAAAGCACAACAGGGAGAGAAAGAGAAAAATCTCAAGCGAAAGGAGTGAAATTCAATCTGAGCAGCCAGTGCTGGTCTCCTACCCATTGGCTACAGCTGCGCCTGCCCGTCCAGCTCACGTGGCTCCCCGGACAGCTTGGTTCGCGCCCGCGCCCCCTGCCAGTCCAGCTCACGTGGCTCCCAGGAATGCTGGTTGGGCTCCCAAGGTCACGGCCAGCCAACTGCCCACCCCTGCCCGCCAGTATGCAGCTTATAAATACCCCAGGGAGAGACAATCAGCTGCGGTCGCAGGGATGTCTCAGTTGTCTCTCTGTGGCCATCCCCTTTTACAAGCGCTGGTGGTGGTGGGCTAGCCTGGGAGGTGGCACCCTCAGCTAGGACAGCAGCTTTAGAACAATACATGCCTTTAAAAGCAATGTATGAACTAGAAGGCTCCAGCATGTACACGTGCGGTATTATACTTGCAACAATGTGCCTGATACTTCGCCAGGCACAAAATTCAGCCTCCCTTCTGAGGACCTCAGCTGGTGATATGGACTGTTTCTGTGCACACAGGTCAGCTCTGTCACAGATTTGCTGCAAATATGGCACTAACTTCTTAATTTAAGGGACAAGAAGAAGCTAACCATCCCGAAAAACTTTGTTCATGACTGCCTGTTGCTCGCTGCCATCAGATACCTGTGACAGTCCTCCAAGGGTTTTCATCAGAAGTTGTCAAAGGCACTGCTGAAGTCTTTTATGATGATATGCTGATCTTTTATGATGAATGACAATAATGACCCAAAGCCACAGATTTCTGCACCTTCTGATTGCCTAAGAGAATTGTTAACCCGATTAGAAGATAGCTTTAACTCTTCTACATGCCTTTGGAAGAGTAAAAGTTACACTAGTTCCTCTAGGAGCCAAGTTCATACCCCCACTGATGTGCTGCATTTTTAATGGACCCTGTCTTGGTCATCTATAGATTTACTCTGTCCTTCATAAGAAGACATACCAAACTTAGGGGTGTGTGTATGTGTGTGTAATGCCTCAGGGAAGTTTAACGTTTTTCAGATACAGAAACCAGAGATACCTGTTTTGGGATCCTTTTGCAGGCCAAAGAAAAGAAATGGCAATTCAGAGTTTTAACAACAGTCCCTCATGCAGAGGCAGGCATGTCTCCAGCTGCCTCCCTGCTTCCGTGCGGATTTGGTGGCAGTTCTTCCCCACACAGGGGTAAATACCAACAGAATCCTCTCTTAGGCCACCAACTGGAGCATCCTGGCCTGTGTCACGGCTGCCTAAGGAAACTCAAACGCAAGGGAGCCTTCCTGAGGTAATACCCCTAAGGAAAGCCAGATACAAAAGGATAAGGAACCACAGCCTACTCAGAGGCTTTACACCATAGCAGTCATCATCTTAAGAGATTCCATCTATACCTTTATCCAAGACATCCTCAGAAAAATATTTTAAAAAGAAAAGCATTTTAAATGGTAGAAAAGAATTGCTACAATCAGACTGATTCTCTTTTGGGAGCTTATATACTCTATGATATTTGTGCTCTATGGTAATGTGCTAGATGATGTTTCGGCATAGACGCTGTGTACTCTCAAACTTTGGAAGTAGAAACTGTGGAAAAATCTACAGAAGGCTGAAGAAAAGTAATGCTGAGGCTGGTTAATGGGTAAAAATCACTTCAGCAGCACTGTTAAAATTATTATCTAGGTACTTTATAGATTTTAGGGCTTCCATAAAAAGTCTGATTCAAAATTTTAAAAAGCCTGTCTGCCCTGCAGTAATTCTTGTATGTCTCTCTGGAGGTGGGCAGTGGGATGGATACAAGATGCAGAAGACCGATCGCCATGGAAAGCATTGATAATGGCGAGGCCATCAGATTTCTGGACTTGGAGAAGTTAAGAGGCCAGGGAAAGCAACCGTTGGGAGTCTGCTACATAAAAGAATGAAGCCAGGATTCAAGAAGGGGGAAAACAAAAATCACATCATTCTTTGCTGGAGGAGACTACTTTGCAAGATTAACCTTTCACAAGTAACCTGCCTGTAACTCAAACTCATCCTGATGCTTTTGGACCACTTCACCAAAGCACTGCTCCCCTCAATTTTTGCTCATATCCCACAAAGAACAGGCAAAGTGAAGTGAGAAGAGGATGCCTTGCAGTCTGACGAAACCCATCTAACAGGAGGGAAATGATGTGTCTTGCATTTTGTTAATCACGCTGTACTTTCTTGCTTTTGAGTTCTTCTATGAAACAGTGTTTAGTCTCTTGAGGATCAACTCACCGAGATAAAAACTTATCCTAGTAAAATACAGGCTAGATCCATCAAGCTCAAATTGGTCAAACAGCAACATACTCTGATGTGGAACAGACCACGCTGAGCCCAACACGGCTGCCTAAATAAGGAGGGGTCAATGGGTAGAATCACCAAGACACTGACTACCTGTGCTGCTTTGAGAAAGTAACGGCAGAATGATCATCAGCCTGTGGCTCAAGATAGCTCTAGTTTGTACAAGATTCAGGTATGTCTTCTACAGTAAGTGATCCACAGTTTCTTCTCAGGAACTGCAAATAAGTAGTCATGTAAGGTGCATGGAAACACTAAATCAGGGAATCTCACCTGTCATGCAGTGGAGCTATACACACGGTGTAGCTAATCACCCAGTCACTTCTCAGTGACCATACTGAGCTGCTTGTTCTGCTCCCCACTGCTCTTTGTAATGTAACCCCGGTGACTTCTGGCCATATGAAGATAGCAGAACATGGCTGGTAAAGTCTGGAAGATTTTTGACTCCAGTCTCCACAAGTAGTGAAAGGTGCAGGTGGATACGAAAGGACAAAAAATATCCCTAAAACATTCAGCATCAGGACTTAATCTACTAGCTTGTGTATTTCCTATTGATGTTGATAAATATAACAAGTCACGTGAAATGCTGATTATTTTCAGAGATTAATACACTAGCTCTTATTTGCAGTTTAATTGTCTATTGATTGGTGGTGGCTTTTAAATTAAAGAAAAAAACCTTCAAAAAAATAAAAGCAGCCACCTACCCAGAGGATCTAGTATCAGTTCCCTAAGATGTACTGACAGAGCTTTGACTACATAAGATGAGGCTAGCCAACTTTTTGCACAAGCAGGAATCTTCCATCCCGCCTAAACAAACCCTTTTTCTGATTCAATTGTTTCTCTCCATCCTTCACCTCAGACATATCTGCACTGAAATCTCTCCGGCCTCCCTACTCAACAGCTGCAAATTAACCACAGGGATCTCAGCATATTCTGCAACAGGTGGCTCCGCGCCTCGCTTCGCAATTGGTGCGCTGCAGGGAAAGGAATGCAGCGCTGAATCCCGATGCTTGCAAGCGTTCTCAGATTTACAATCATGTAGGAAGTAATGGGGTGAAACAGAGTATGCCAGATAACAGAGGAGGACACAGAGGAGAAACAAGGCTGCCCTGAAAATGCTTGCAGTCTCTGAGATGCAAGACAGCAGAAGGAAGGAGTAACATCACTGAATTTTAGGAGCTTTCAGAAATGTGGCAAAGTCATGGCCATTGTGGTACTTTCCTTCCAACAGAGGCAATATTAATGTCAAACTTGTGGCAAGTTTTGAAATGAATTTTTTTTTTTTTACACCTCATTTTACTTTAAATGATTAATGTCTCTTAGTTCTAAAAGCAAAGCAGGTAACTTTTGCTTATCACAAAACCTGAGCTAGTAAGTAATCCCAACCCATTTGGGGTTTCCCTGTGCAGTATTTGCAGGACCAGGAGCACTGGGGACTGCAGATACCTTCACGCTGCAGAACCAGGATGAGTTCAGCAAACTTGGCCGTGTTCCTGGAAGGGGTGAGGAGGCAGCGGTGGGCATGGGGCTCGTAGGAGCGGTATGAGCTGGCGCCTATCTAATCCCACACACCACCATGCACACGTGCTGTTCCTATACAGCTGAAGTCTGGTGTTAGGCCGAAGTTATTCAGCCCTCGAAACACCACGAAGCACAGTGCACAGACAGGCAAGTAGCTACGCAGCACCAATTCTGTAAGGCTGGATATGCCTGCACCTCACTGCCCAGTGTATCACATATTTGCATTATCCAAGATTCTCAGCTTTTCTGTATCTAATGTCTAAAGGCGACTTGACTGGCAAATGAAACAAAATGGAGGCTAACCAACAAAAAAAACCCCTTTTCCATTTCTACTCAAAGTAGCTCATCTACATAGAAGTAAAAATCCAGGGCTCTCTTGTACATCCAGAACAAGTGGTACTGGGCCATGAGAATTTTTGCAGCTCACAGCTAAGAAACTGGAACACAGTTCTCTCATCTCTCTCCTCATCTTCCCCCACCTGGACCCAAAAAGAACCTCAAGTTTAAGACACAAATACAACACACACAGACTCTTCTCAAACAGTTTAATAGCAAATAAACAAAGGAAGGTACCACACTTGGCATATACAAAATGACTTGTTGTCGGTGTGTCTGTGCAATTAAAACAGCTTTAAGTTGCCCTTTGGGACAAAAAGAAAAAAAACAAAACAAAACACACACACACACACAAAAGGAAGAAAATTCCTTTAACACGTACTCGCTCGTTCCAAACTTGTAACAAATCTTTTCATTTTTAAATCCACTACACAAACTCTTCGATCAGAAAAGCAACACGTGCTCCTCCGCTTTTTAAACCATTAAAGTAAAATCCGTAATTCTCTACAGAGTACAACACAATTTCACACAAAAAGACATTTTGTTTTGCAAATCAAAACAAGAAAAAAAAGGAACAGCTCAAACAAGGTAAAGAAAAGCATTTCTACGACTGAACCACGACTTCGAGTTGATTAAATCCCGTTACTGCAGAACAGACTCTACATTTGGTCATAGTGGCAATTTGTTTTCTCGTCACATTGTGAATCACTTTACATTGTTTTCTAGTAGAAAAGGCAAAAAACTGTACAAAACCCCTAGTGTTAAATACAATGTTTGTACCAATAAAAAAGCCCACAGGTTTGTCTCCA